AACAATCCCTTTCCCCTGGTTTTTTAAGGGCTGGCAACGTTCACGTAACATTCCTAGTGTTACAGACGTCCGTAGGTTACAATAACGTCGTTTACCGTCAAACAGGCCGTATGCTTGTTGGCCCCCATAGTAGTATAAAAAATGAAGAAAGATGATTTTATATACTATTTTGAAAAAAAAAGCAAATTAAATGTTATTCAAACGATTAAATACAAATCGAATTGTTTCAAATCGATTCAATCCATCAATTTAGTCTAGCCGACTCGGATTAACCTCGAGAATCGAAATTGCATAAGCTAAATAATGAGAGGAAATGCAGTTCTAAGTGGTGCATAGCTGATAATGAAACGAACGGAAATCGCTCGACGCTGACTAGACCTATTTTGTAATCGAATCATGCAATGATAATGACTATTGTTTCTCGATAACACATTTAAATACTATGTTCATTTTAGCAATAACATACTGGCCAGAATGAATTTACATATAAAGGTTCTAGTGACTGGCTGGTATAAATATAAAAATTAAAAAGAACTTTTAAAATAAGCATGGGTATATATGTAAGTAGGTACGATCTGTTTTCAACCTCAAAAAAGGGGGTATTTATTTCGATTATATTTTTTTATATATGTTACCTTATAACTCCGTCAGTTATATATTTGTTATTTATTATCATTATTATCTAAGCATATATATAAGTTAATAGGTATACATATAGCTGTTTATACAAGAGCGCAGAGCTGCAGACAAACTAAAAAACAGTTTTATATAACTATGAATATGTTTTGTTTATACATGTGTTTATAAATATTTTTTGTTTCATTTTTAAATGACCAATTTTGAAAAAAGAACACGGCACAATTGTGCACTAAATATATTAATCAATAAAGACTTAATTATAAGGTATTTTTAAATTAAAAAGAAATTGAGATAGGAAATTAAAAAAAAATATGTTTCCATGTTTATTCATTGTGATTCATGAGCTCCCTTTTTTTATTGTTGAATCAATAATCTATAGCCAAATATGGTCATGTTGGATGGATAAACACTTACTGATGTACACAATGCCTCTAGCTACCCCACATGGAGTTAAGCCACTTATGTATTCGTATATATCAACAGCTGGTGAGATATGCTCATGTTATCGCTCCTGTGCAAATAGTTCGGGTAGGATTTAATAGACCCCATATTAATACCTAACTTATCAAATGCCATTTCGTTCGTATGATAACGACTGATATGCATTCGAAAATGTGATATTAGATTTTAACTAACGTCAAAAAAAAGTACACTTATTTTTGACGTATATTTTTTTTTCATATGCAAATACCTATTTGTGTAATTATTTTTTTTTTACATTTATTGTAAGATATTTAATTTTAGGATAATATTGTTAAAATTTCTAAATATAATAGTCATTTAATTGTCAAAATAATTGTCACATTTTTTTATATAATATTTAGGGTTTCTTTTTAAATGTTAAACTTACCTATTCATATGTACACTTTAACAACACTTATCACCACATCACAGATCTAATATTACTTATAATCTATGTACCATAAGACCCGCACTGTCTCCCGGCTTCTCATAATAACAGAAATGAAATAAGGGAGTGTACACACGTGTCACCCAGCGCCGCGACAGCAAGCGTGTGGTGGACGGTAGTCGCGCGTGCCGGCGCCGCCTATACGATGCCGCTATTCTATATTTAAAATTGCTAATGAGTACGTCGAAGGATTTTTATTGAATTCACATGACCCATTGTTTTATGAAGTTTATTTTTTTGAATTTGGTGCATAATGATTTTTTTTTATTCAATTTTATTTCATTTCGTATTTAAAGCTATTAATTAAAAATATTGCCGAAGACCGGGAAGATGCCGAATCTCCTGGTTAAAAAATCTAAGGCAGTGGTTCGAAATAAGGACCAGATCAATTTTAAGGATAGTGGTGGATGAGGTAAAGGTCGCCGTGATGATTACCGACCAGATTTTAGAAGATTAAGATTGTAGAAGACAGCACCTTAAGAGGAATTAAAATTTAAAAATTTAATTCTACTTAGAGGGACTAAATTATTTTTTCTTCAATTTGAAATGTAATTAAATGAAATAATAAATTAATACAACAATCTAAGATAATATCTGTGAGTAAGGAACGGTGAAGGTTATAATAAAATTACATCGTATCAAAAATTACTGTACTTAAAAATTACAGACAATAAATCCGTAAAATTATGAAAGCATAACGTGAAGCAACATTTTATCGGCCCTGATACAGAACGCTCATTAAGGAATCGTAAGGTTCTATACATAATATGCTACGTGTAATGAAAAAAAAATGTAACTAGCTCAGTCCGCGACTTTGTCTGCCTGACCGGGATAATAAGTAGTCTGTATCCTTCTCCATTTTAAATACTTTTGTATCACATTCCATGACTATAGATAAAACCGTTAAGGCGCCAAATTTACTCTCACATTTATAATGAGCTTGAGTAATGATAATAAATTAAGTACTTAATAATAGATCGCTTAATGTTGGCAATATTAGTAAGAGACTAAGAGTGACTATGCACAATACTAATAATAATGTAGAATACCTATCCCTTTTCAGTTTCAAATTTGATGTGAAACAAAAAATGAAATAGAAAAATACGTTTCCTTTTCTTTCTTACATGAACAGCGCTTAGTAAACTCTGTCAATTATATATATGTAAATTTTTATTTTATATTATGTGCATGCTATGCAATAATATGTAAAATATATTTTGGATTAGGCTTATAAGTACTTTGTAAACTAGACATGAAAAGAGGGACTAGTCTAATGGGATTCGTATATTGGAATGAATTGAATGGATGTGTATTAGGTAGGTAGGGTTGCAATTTAATTTGTTACTTTTGTTTCTTATTTTGTTGTTTGTTTGTATTTGTTTGTAGGTTTATGTTGTTCTTTGTTTTATTTTCTTTATAACTCTTTTTTATAGAGGCTATCCTGTACCCTACCCTTACTAATATTATAAGTTTGAAATTTGGTATACGTATTATAAATGCAAAAGTTTGTAAGGGTAGATAGATAGATGGATGGATGAATGCTACTTTTTTACGCAAAATGTGCTGAACGGATTTCAATGAAATTTGGTACACTGGTAGGTTACATCCTAACATAGTACAAAGGATACTTCATACATTGCTTCACGAACACCAAGCTGCGGGATATAGCCATTAATAAACACATCTAATAACCAAGTATATACGTTACTTATGTGACATCTTAGTAAATATTTAAATTGCCGTTTCTGGAGAATGTGAAGTGGCCCTTATCTGGGTATTCAACACGCGTGTACAGGCTCGCTTGTAGTCGCTAATAACTTTAATTACACAGTTTATTGGCCACTGAGTGTCTGATGAGTCATTGGCATTTCTGTCGTTCTTTTTGAAGAAAGCAAGCCTATTACTGTTCGAACATTCAATCATGCCATTAGCTGTTTAGAATTTATGAATAATTTATATAACAGATACAGTATTAATGATTAATTAATCGATAGAAAATATTTAGAGTTTCGTACTAAAATTGTGTAAAAATAATCCCGGTATAGAAATGTCCATTGCTGAACATAAGCCTCCTTTTAGGAGGGTTTTGCCAGTAGTTGCCACGCTTGGCAGGAGGATTGGCAACCGCAGTTAGACTTTAAAGATGTTTTAAGAGGGACGCTGCTGCCCATCCCTCGGCCTCCCTTAGTCGGCTCTTACGACATCCACGGAAAACGAAGGGGTGGTCTATTCTATACCGGGACTACACGGGACCGATTAAATGGATAGATTAAATGTCACTAAACTTGCTAGTTTTTTTAGGTAAGAGACTTCAGTCACAGATTATATACTTGTGTTCTATTCAAAGATATTATTTGTATAATAATTTATCTATGGTTCCATTTGTCAAGTTTTTTAATTATTTTATAAATGTTCAATTCTCTTATACATATCCAGATAGCAGTATTAATGAGTAGGTAATAAGTATGTAGGCACATTTTAAGGTGACTGGAAAAAGTGGTTTTTTTTTTCAATTATCTTTAGTGACCAGTAGGTACATAACGAGATTAATAAATAAAGTAAAAGGGACCTTTCTCCTGCACTCCATTGAAATTTCTGAAATTTCCATATCTACTTACCCATACATGTTATGCGAGCTAAGTTATTTTTACTAATTATATAAATTTTTTATTAATTAAAATACCATTACGATTAGTTGCAAATAGAGGTAGACAATTTGCTTTTTAAATTTTATGTATCAAATAATATCGATATTTGACTACAGTCTTTGGATTCTTCGAACTCATCAACATCGTTATTTTAGCCATTATCCGTCCACTGCTGGACATAGGGCTCCCCCATAGATTGTCATATGGAACGGTCCTAAACCATCTGCATCCACTAATTCCCTGCATGCATGCATGCAATGCATTTAAGGTCGTCACTCCATTTACTGCTGAGTTGTCCTAGATTACGTTTGCCTGTAAGGAGTCGCCACTCAAGAACCTTTCTTCCCTATCGGTTATCGGTTGTTCGAGCTATATGACCAGCCCGTTGCCATTTCAAACTGCCATATACATATCAAAATACTTTTGTTCAGAACGGTAATAGTAAGTCATGTATTTTTTGGCCATGAATCATCGCAACATAATCTTATTATTATGGACACACTATTAATTTGAATTCTGGTTTTGTTTTTATAATAAATGAAATTCATATATAAATCGATATTTGGTCACCGTTACATTTTTTCATAACTGGTATCAACCAGTTTTTAACTTTAGACATCAGTCTAAAGTTAAAAATTTTAATATCAATTGATATCTCTATGTAACATACTAGTGATGTAATAGTCGTTTGTTACACATTACGTGTACAATGCAGTCGACATCTTAATTGATGACGCTTCTACGATATTTCTGCCTTGATTACTGCAGTATTTAATAAATGGGTACTAAATTATAGTACTTACACGATAGCGGAGTGGTGACGTTGGTGGAGCGGAGCGGAGAGCGTGGCGGGCGGCAGAGCGGATAATGATGCGGGCTGCGGCGACCCGCACCAGCGGGCTTCTCGAACATCTGAAGAACCTGACGTTAAGTAACGTAAATTATGTTTGTTGATGTGCCTTATATATTTTAAAATAAAAAGAGACATCAAAATCATAAGTATTACTATCAGTATAATACCAGAGGGAGACTTTGTACAAAAGTCGATTGCTTGGGTACCTCTGTCCCATTCGTGTTTCAACCGTGAAGCAGTTTTGTTTGCATTGCTGTGTTTCGGTTTGAAGGGTGGGATATAGTGTGAATTTACTGGGTAAAGAGGAATAACACCTGAGTTCTCAGGAATGGCAACGAATAGGGGGTATCATGGGCGAAACAGTATACTCTGTTATGTTCATGATACTACCCATGTCTATAGGCGACGGAACCACTTTCCATCAGGTGGGCCGTCAGCTTATTTGCCATTCTAAGTTGCATAAAAAAAATGCAGACATTGTTTTTTGACATTGTTTCATTAGGAAAAAAAAACTGAATTTCAGTGACAGAAAATTTTTATAAAATATGCTGAATAATTTCGATTTCACACAGTACTATGTATATGATCCAAATAGATATCATGATATCAAGAGTAAATTTGTGTATGTTAATAATATTAGTAGAAAAAAACGTAATGCGCCGTTTTCAAATGAAATAAAAGAAAGGGAAGGTATGCGTTATGATTTTATTAACATCCAAAAAATGATACCTACTCGTGGGATCGTCATCGTATCTGAACGATATTTTTAATGTTCACTTTGCAAATTTCAACCAAATTACTTTAGTAGTTTAGAAACGAGTATGAAAGGCAAACTTACATTACTTGCGTTTAATTCAATTAAAATTTTACTTTAGAGTACTCATTAGAAATTGGGATAAGAAAATCGACTTCGTGAGAGAGCCATCGTACTTTTAGATTAGGTAACATATTAATGAATACACTTTAGGTACTTGTATCTATACTAACATAATAAAGCGCAGGTTTGTTTGTTTGTTTGAACCATTTGAACTCGCTAATCTTTGACTATTACCGGTCAGATTAAAAAAAAAATTGTATTTGACAGATCATTTCTTCAGAAAGGTTTTAATATAGACTATTCATCATCACGATACGACCACAAACGAAGTCGTGAAATACCGCTAATATATCGTAAATTATTACTTAAATCATGGAATAAAATTAAAAATGTAATTACTTACTACCATATAGTGTCATGTGAGAAGGCGGTCTGCTTGCAAGTACCGGCGTGGAACCATACCGCTCCCCGCCCGCAGACAGACGTCCGCCGAGCGGCTTGAACGCGATCGGACGGATTACCGATTTGCCCTGAAACAAATAGGATTTCAAATAAGAATTCATATTTGTAAATATTAAGCAAAAAAAAAAAAACTAGTAAAATAACCAGAGCATTGATGTAATAATACATACTACGAGATACACACACTATATATTCGAAGTAATTTTATTACAACATAAATTTAGTTTCATAACAATATCGTTTTTACCACCTAAATGTTATTTTCCGAGTTTCATAATTACCTTGTTAAAATAGTAGTTAGGTAAATATAATAGTCTTGTATTCATCGAAGACAATACACGCTTCCTTATATGTGTGTACATTTATTTTATGTTTACGCTATATCTTATACACAATGTGCGTGCCATAGAACATAATTTATCTATTCATCAAGCGTAACGCATTCTGCGTGAGATGTATACATAAACAAACTATGTGGTTACTTTACTTCTCTCGGTATCGTAGACCCGTGTCCGATTTAGTAATTCTAGAATATCTTACTAATATAATAAAATTGTAACTAGATAATGTATTTACATGCGAGATATTTAAGAAAAAAATATATATTGGGTTTTAATAATCACCATCATATCAGCCTTTAACTATCCACTGCTGAACAAAAGCCTCCTCCTCCTAAAGGGTCGGAGGGAGGGTTTTTTTAATGGATGAAAATGGCATGGTAACCCTGCCTGCGCCATCGATATACACTGGCGGGGCACCAGTGAGAGGTAATAGGTGAGGATGAAAAGGCAGGTCATTTAGCCCATTGTGACGAATTCAACGATAAATTAGTCACGATAGTTTCCAGGAGGAACCGCGTGGAGGTCGACCTGATAGAGTATGTTGATAGCAATGAGGACTAACCTACCGATTACTAAAAATCCCTTCCTCCCGGAGGGGGGGTTAGTCAGTAGTTTCTACGCTTGGCAAGTGGATTAGTAACCGCAGTTAGGTTTTAGGGATGTTTTAAGAGGGACGCTGCTGCCCTTTCTTCGATCCCTTGCCCTCTCTTAGTCGCCTCTAACGACACCCACGAGAAAGGAAGGGATGGCCCATTCTACGCCAGGACCACACGGCAAGATATCCAATATATGGTCTTCGCAACCATAATTTTGTATTTTAAAGTCAACAATTTACTGTTTAAAGATTCAATTGTTCTTTCCTTCGCTCACTCTTAACCGAGTTGGAAAAGGTTTTCCTCGCGTGTTACGGTCCTATACTATTTTTTACAAAATTACAGTATTTTTTTTTAATAAAATTATAAATGATCTCCATTCAGAATAGAGGACCATGTTGATAATGAAGATCATTCCTTTAAAACCATATTAAACAAATTATGTTATAGTATAACGTTTCGGCAGTCAAGTTAATAGACGTTTTGATGTAGTTATCTCGTCGTCGGTGCACGGATTTGACATTTCAGTACGCAACACGCAACGAAATGTCACGCCGTAACGGAAAGGTCAGTGCAGTTTTACGACATGACATAAGGATGCGCTCGGTACTGTTACAGTAAAATATAAACAAAGAAATATTAAATACAGCTCGTGTGGGAACAAGGACAGGCGGCACAATAAAACATTCAATGATACACATGTAGTTATGGAACTGTATGTCACACACACACACTCATTTTTATGCAACTTAGAATGGCAAATAAGCTGACGACCCACCTGATGGAAAGTGGTAACCGTCGCCTATAGACATGAGCAGTACCATGGACATAACAGAGGATACTGTTTCATCCATGATACCTCCCATGCGTTGCCATTCCTGAGGACTCAGGTGTAATTTCTTTGTACCCTGTACATTCACTGCCATATCCCATACAAACCGACACAGGCATGCAAACACAACCGCTTCACGGTAGAAACACGAAACGAAACAGAGGTGCCTAAGCAAACGACTTTTGTACAAAATCTCCCTCTGGTATGTAACGGTCAAGTAGGATTTTCATTAGCAAAAAATTATTCTGACTTATTGTTTGTTGGTTTGTTGATCTAGTAGTATGAGAGCTTCCTGTTTGAGCGCGAATTTACACTGGCATTTACTCGTAGACGACATAGTGTATGCAGACAGCGTGTGTTTGTAGGTTAACCGTCACAAGGTCTCGCTAGATGCAGCCACTCAGTCGTTAAACGATAAACTGCAGCGGGAGCGGGAGCGAATTATGTCATAAAAGATGAATATATAAATTATTACATTGTCGATATGCATTTTGATTTTATATATTATTTGTTTATGTTTGTTATATGTATTTGTTTATGCCATAAACAGTATAAGAAAAGCATATTATATTTTTTATATAGATTAATAAACAGTAATTTGCGTTTATTAAAATTTATGTACATACATACATATCCATTGAGGTAGGCAGAGACAATAAACGCCAAATGCTTCTACTGAAGTTAAATACATATATAGACTTATATAATTATTTGGAATCAATATAATTAATTATTCAATCAGAATTAAATATCATTAAAAAAATGAATCTCAGACAAAACCAAGAAATCATTTTGATCATATAGAATTATTTCTTTTTCTCAAAATACTTTAAATTTTTTGCTTGACGTAATTTAAATTGTTATAACAATAAAAAATTATAAGTACTAAAAAAGATTACATAAAATGAAATAACTGTTTTATTAAAATCAGATTCAGTTATTCGCGGAACTTTTAACCTTGTACCATTTCCTAATTTGTTGTCAAGCGGATGGAATCGTTTAGATCAGCCATTTTGAAGTCCTAAACCGATCTAGTATGATCTTATTCTCTAAAAGTAAAGGTAACGTATTGATAATGGAATATATTTTTTATTTGCAGTTTGGATGCCGAATGATTAACTGTAGGCTTTGAGTACCTAGACCTAGATCTATTTGAGGACCTAGATCTATTGATTTGCCTGAAGATGCCTCGTTTAGCGATGAAACACGTGTCACAAAACGTGCGTGGACGAAATGGCAGCCAGAGATTGAAGGTTAATAAGAAAGATTGTGGAACTTCTGGTAATGGTAATGGTGGTTAATCTTCGAGTGTTGACAGTCGCACACATAATAATGGCAGCGGAATTAAACAAAATAGTTCTAATCCACCTAGTACAGTAAAATATTTTCAAATATATTTACTTGTAATTTTATTGTTTCATATATTTAGTTACAGTCGACATCCTATACGTGTCATTTGTTGTCGTTAAACGATTAATTTGCAGGTTGACTTTGAAGCAATCGAACTGGGATTAAATCAGATCAATAGATCTGGTTTCGATTTGTTCATTTGAAAGTTGCTATTATGTAATGTAATGTAATGTTAAATCGATATAATTTTTTATTTGATCCTAATTCGATTGCATCAAAAGTCGCGCGATAATAATAATGGACGGAGTACTCGCTTTTTTGTTGTTTGATCACGTAAATAGCAAAAGTTGATTTAAATTAGATAGGAGGAAAGGGATTACTAATAATGCGAACTACCAGTCCCATTGCTAGCAATAAACCCTGTCAGGACGACCTCCACGTAGTCTCCCCTGGAAGCTATCGTTCTGAATTCCAGGTGTATTCATCACGATGGGCTAACTGACCTGCCCTTTCATTCTCAAATACCATCTCTCACTGGTGCCGCTTTAGCGCAGACGGGGTTACCATTACACTATCATCTATTAAAAGGATATAAATTAAATAATTAGTAAATTTTTACAATACCTTCTTTTGCCATAAATGTAAAAAATATTTTACTATGTAACATTGTAGATCAATTGCCTAATATATTAGTCCCATGTTTGCTTTTCTGAATCGAGTCTGTGTCTAGATAGAATATTAAGAATACAAATATGGAAGAATGTATTCTATTTGGAATGAAAAGTAAATAGCTAGATGTACTCATATATCTCTACCTACATTTATTCATATTTCCTTAAGATTACGCAAAACATCCTCTGATCAACTGTTGCAATAAAACGCAGGTATCTATCAACGGAAGGTTGCAATAAACTGGGTAGTTAATTGGATAATTTTCCTAAGCATAGATCCCAGTGGATCTAGCACTAATTTAGATTTACCTGACTGTCTACTTCCCTAATTATATGTAGTTATAATCGAATTATGACCATTGCAAATTATCTACTACATCTGTAAAATGTACTCCTATAGCGCATAAAGTGATCATATTTCTAAAAACTTCTTAAATTATAAAAAAATGATAAAACTTGATACTTGAATTGTTATACACTGATCAGTATCGGGTATAAAAGTACTCTTTCACAAATTTTTCCATTAATAATATATATTATATATACATATCCTAATTTTGATATAACATTAAATAAAATAGTAAATACACATAGAGAGTTACTGATAAAATAGTCGATCTGCGTTTGAAATAATGCAAAAAAATTTAATTGTATTGTCTTCAAAATATATGTAGATAATGAAATGGGAAAATGAAAGGAATAAGTACTTATTTGTAACTAGCTTTTGCTCGCAATTTTGTACGCGTGGATTTTGATATCAAAATCAAAACATACACCAGATTTCAAATTAGTCCTTCAGGAACTTAACTGTGGAACCTGCATCCAATTTGGTGCAATAGTTTCTATGTAATGTTAGGAACAAAAAGACAAAAAAAAATTCCATAAAATATTATTTGGACTTTTATTGGTCTTATATCGCTCATACTAATTCTTCTTAAATATGTGCAGACATTGTCTAGTTTCAATTTAATTATATAAAAATGTATCATCATTTTCCTGTCTGTAATTATTTAGGATAAACATTTTTTCTTCCACTCGGGTTATGGAATGAACTCCCTGCCGAGTTTTTCTCATGAGACTACAGCATGGGGTTCTTCAAAAGGGGGGTAAAGAGGTTTCTTCAGGGTCGGTAACGCGCGCGTAATACTCCTGGTATTGATGACGTTCATAGGCTACGGTAACTGCTTACCATCAGGTGGGCCGTACCTCAGTGGTATAGAAGTATAGTATTCACTCTATTTCCTTGTCATCTTAACTTTCTCATTTAAAATATACGGTAAA